GGGTGAAAGTGAATGTGAAACTTAAACTGTCTGCTGAGCTCTCAACATTAGTTAACACTCAGTGAAGCTCTTTTTTGAGGAAATGTATTTTCAGATGCCAATAAACCAAGTACCCCCGGCTGCAGACTGTGGATTYGGATACTAGACGGGGTCGGACGTCCAATGGGTGTGGTCAAGGCTTGTAGGGAAGTTTAATAGGAGGCTTAAAAAATTGGGCGTGGTTAATTTTAGTGTTTAGCATCTGGGGTTGGTTAATTTTAGAGTTTAGGGCGGGGTCAGACGTCCGACCCAGCCTGTTGTCCGACCCCGCCCCATGCCGCAGTCTACAGCCAAGGGTTACTCATCATGGCAGCCCCCCTCCTCCCCCCGTGGGTGCAAAACTTACCCCCCGCACTGAAATGGGCGAGACAGAAATGTAAGGTGGTTCTTAAAGAGACAGAGGCCAATTTAAAGGAATTTAGAAGAGGAAGTGATGAGAAGATAAGTTTATTTTCTATTTAAACATAAAAACAGCATTTTAATTACAGTTAAAGGTGACATGGATACTTTAATATGGTATAGTATTTAAATGTATTCCTGAGAAACACATGATATTGCCCCCTTGACCTCTGCTAAAGTTAATTTATAATTGGAAATTTTTTTATCTTTGTATAATTTATTRAAAAATAATAATTTTGAGTGTGGTATGGTGGCTCATTTGGTAGAAATGATGCTCCTCAGCAAGAAGGTTGCTGCATCGAGTCTTGGCCAGGGTCCTTTCTGGGTGTTTTTTTCTGTGCATGCAGTGGTTTTTCTCCAGGCATGCTGGTTTCCTCCTACAGACCAAAAACATAAATGTTGGGATATTTGGCAACTCTAAATTCTTCCTATGTGAGCGAGAGTGAACGGTTGTTTGTCTCTGTGGCCCTGTGATGGACTTGCGACCTATCCAGGGTGTACCCCTCTCCTCGTACAGTGACTACTGGACATGGGCACCAGCGAGCCTGAAAGGAAGAAGCGGGTAAAATATGATGGATGGAAATAAATTTTGTGTGTATGGTTTGGTTTTGTTTTTGCACTTTTTCATTTAATACTAATAAAAATATATAATAARAGAAAATATTTTTTACAAATGTGTACCATTTTTTAATTTTAATTTCTTTTATTTCTTGTTGCAACACATTATTCAGTCAGGCACTTAAAAGTGTATGGTACTTACTTTGTATGTACCGAAAAGGTACTAGATACAATTTCYTACGCTAGAGGCACATGCTCTGTAAGTACAGGGTAGCAAGTCACCTCGTAGTACAGCCGTGTCCCCATATGTACTCTGTACATACCTGAACACAGACTCTGGTGTCAAAATTACAACATGGCAGCTCCTGTAAAATAGGTCCTGCTGGGTTAAATTATCCACAGTAAGAAAATGGGGGAGAGTTGTTTTATAATGAATGCAGTCTATGATGGATCCACATACACTGGTGTAGCTTGGTTATTGCCCAAGTTACAAACGTGATCATGACAAGGTCTGGAAAATAAACCAGCTCATGTGTTATCAGTGACAGTGGSGCAGTGCTGCTGTGGGATGATATTCTAGCCTTTAGCTGCATCCTGACATGATCCAAAAGCGTTGTGCCAGGGGAGGTATCTTCATGTGAATGTTTGCTGAAATATCGAGCATGGCAAGCGTGCAAGAAAGTGTGTTTCAGGGATGTAGAAAATAGCAAGAAAACCCTGTGGTAGTACAGTAAGATCACACAGAGGCATTGAATGCAAAATAATGAAAAACAAGAAAACATAAATCACTACAAATCCCAAAATAAATTACATAGCCAGTGCTAAAATTTAGTGCTAAAATTCACTGCAATGACTAACAGAAATTGCAAGTGAAACCATTGATAAAATCCATCCATTCAACCATTATCTTGTATTTTGGATCACAGGGGCAGTAGCTTGACCAAGAACCAGACCTCTCTTTCCTCTTCKAGCTCTTCAGGGGGACTACAAGTTGTTTCCTGGCCAGTCCACAGACATAGTCTCTCCATCATGTCCTGGATCTTCCTCTGGGTTTCCTCCCAGTCAGACATGCCTGAAGCACCTCCTTAGGGAGGCATCCTTACTAGATGAACCACCTCAACTGGCTTCTCTCAGTGTGGAGGAGCAGTGGCTCTACTCCTAGTCTCTAAGGAAGAGTCAGCTGCCCTTCAAAGAAAACTCATTTCAACCGCTTGTATCCATGAACTCGTTCTTTTGGCCACTACCCAAAGTATGCTGTCTTACACAGCAAAAATGCCAGTGTTAATTTCAACACCAACAAAGTGTCTATATGTGTCCACACTCGCTGGTGTTAAAACAACATTTGTGAAAGTGTTAAATTTTAACACCCATTTTTTTGTTAATTTAACACCAACCAGTGTTTAACATTCAACAATACTTGGTGTCACATTAACATAAAAAATAGTGTTAGTGTTAAAATATAGTGTTAAAAGTAACACCAGCCAATGCTAATTCAACAATACTGGGTTTCATATTAACATTTTGACAGTGTTAAAATAAAGTGTTAAAAGTACCACCAGTGTATTATTATTATTAATAAAGGAAATGATGTGTTAAAAGGTAAACAGACACCACAAGGTGTCGATCCACCATATATTTGAGAGAGCAAATTTAACACTCAGAGTTAATATCAAACTCTATGCAGTGTAACATAAACATTACTCAGTAGTGAGTAGAAAAGTATAATGGAGTCACCCTTCACACACCAGGACATACCTCTCACTCATGGTGTCAATTTTTGGCCAARAACATAAACTTAAAGTTGAACAACTTGARAAAAATGAACAAGAAAACTAACCAGAACAGCTAATTTGTTCTCTCATGAACGTCTTTCTTAAACATGCAAAAACATCATTTCTGCAAGATTTCTCAGCAAGCAATGCTGGGTGAATACTGGTCTGCTTGACATGAGGTGGAAAAGGGTGGGGCTTTTCCTTTCAACACTGCATATGGTGTCATATAACAACACTGTTAAGTGTTAAATAAGACTTAACTGTGGGCAGAGCTTATTTAACACTGTCCAGTGTTGAGACAACACTGAGGAAATCAAAACTGTGAATTAACACCAACAKTGGGTGTCAGTTTACTCAGAAAGGGTTAAAATAACACTAGGGGGTGTTAAATCAACACCCAAAAGTTTAACACGGAAATTTTAACACTCCTGTTTTTGCTGTGTATGTAAGGGTAGGAACGTAGTCCAGCTGGCTCCGTCTTCACCACAACAGACCGGTCCAGAGTCTGCAATACTGCAGAAGCTGTKCCGATCCATCTATCAATCTCARACTCCATTCTCCCGTCACACTTCCTATGATACTTGAACTCCACTTGTGGCAGAACCTCACCACACTATGGATAAAATGTTACGTAAATATAAGTTAATAAATGCAATTTGTAAACTGAATCTGAAGTTTTCAAATTCTGACCATTACACAAACTGACATGGGGATGATTGAATAACCTCCCATCATTTACCTCAACACTGCAGGACATTTATAAGTTCCCACCGACTTCTGTTTTACAGGAAAGACTTCATGAGTACCGTTAACACGGCCCTGGGGAGAGGAGCTATATGGGCTTAACTGGAATAATAAAATGCACTGCTGCTTTAACTGGGTCATGGCAGTGAGGGCCGCTCCATGAAACAGAGCACCGCGTACGCAGAAAGAATGTTTTTTTTTTGTTAAATCATCATATTTCACACATCTATATCCTTTTGTTTTGATAATGACTGATTATGATAAATTTTCTTTTCTCCCTCTTGCCATTGGCACTTAAGATTGAGATTGATTTCACATTTTCCTTTCTTTTGTCTGGCTATGCATAAAAAGCTTTGCTCGGTTCACTGAATAGTTCCATTCCTCAATTCTCTTGCCTTTTTTTCAGTGCTACAACTAAATACATAATTTCTTAAATACTCTTTTCTTTTAATATGTTCCCTTTTAACTTGTTGCAGCAATGATTTTTGACTGTTTTTTTTTTCTGTTCTTTTACAGACCACCAAGGCAGTGAACAAAGGTGACTTCCCGCTGGCCAACATTGCCTCCCGGAGGGCTTTGTTCCTTGCTGCCCTCAGCATCACTATAGGCACCGGTGTGTATGTAGGCGTGGTGGTTGCTCTCATTGCCTACCTTTCTAAACCAGGACACATATAGCAGAAGCTCCCTTCTTTCACACAACTCCAGAGAGCCTGAGAGGAGAAAAAAAAGACCCTTTTGGGCAGAAAGGGAGAGGGGGACGTCATTGCAACTGCAAACTTCGAGGAAAACTTTATGTTGATGTACAGTTTGTTTTTCCATTATTGATTTTTTTTTATCCACCATCTTTTGCTTCCAGACTTCTCTCCCTGAAGGCTTTCTGTCCTGTCAGGATTGGCCAAAGCAATTTGAAAGAGGTTAAAACTTTTAGGTGGGAACAAAGAGGAAWAAAACAAACTTTACTTTTTTTGTTTTTCTTTTTTTAGACACGGTGGATGTGATGGAAGCATTTAATGTTCGAGCACAGTTTGCATTCCACTGGACTTGAACCCATTATCTTTAGACTGGTTTTTCAACTTTTGATGCCCCCTACCGAAACTTTAGAAAGAATGTTTAATTCAATTCAGTTACTTGAACAAATAATACTCTATTATTTGAGCTATTGGTCTTTGTGGAGATTTGTTACACAGGGGCGCCACATGGGAACATCCCTAATGGATTCATCATTGACTCAGAACACCAGGACTGTGTTTGGTGGAGGGTTAGAAAACAATTTAGTGTTCAAGTCAAGTCATTTGAGGGCTGTGATACCTACAATGAAAAAAGATACAGCCATTTGATGACAAACATGTTGGATAAACTTGTGATTGATAATAAAWGCTTTTCTCTTTATTAGGCTGGCATGAATAAAAAGATCACTTTTATCCACAGAGGTGTCCAATCGTTAAAAACTTGGAAAAAATTCAACAGAAAACATTTTTTTATGTGTCCTTTGTTGTTTGACTCAGTTTTCTCTCATTTGAGGAATGTAAAAGCACAGTTTTGAGTTGTTGGGATGTTCAGGAAATCAGGGAAAAAGATGAAACACTCATCAGGAATCACTATAAACCTGGAGATGGATATCAGGTGGATAACGTCATTTACAGAAAGGCCTTACGTATCGTTCAGGGCTGCAGAAATAAACAAACGTGTCGCCGTCTGACAGCTTCGAATTTTGCTCCGATCATTATTCTGTGCATGACTCTTGCAGTTTGCAGCATGATTGATTGAATTTCTGACATAACTTGATGTTGGCAGATCAGAAGATGGCTCCAAATTGAAACTGATCACTCTGAAGGAGCTCATATTTTGCACAGCACTTGACCGCTCAAATGCCCCTCATCAGCTAATAAAACCTTATGGAAGAATATTAAAGGTTATTTTGGGGATTGAGATATGTTTTTTTTTTTTTTTGGTTTCTTCTTTTTTCAATAAGTTTTTTAAACATTTGGAATATTTGTGCCAGAGGATTTTCTTAATTGCAGTTTTTATCCCTCATGAAAAGCAGGCTATCAGGGAACTGGTTTGGGCTGTGTTTGTTTGTCTGTCTGTTAGCAAAATACAGCGGGTAAAATAAGTATTGAATACGTCACCATTTTTCTCAGTAAATATATTACTAGAGGTGCTAATGACATGAAATTTTCACCAGATGTTGGTAACAACCCAAGTGATCCATACATACAAAGAAATCAAACCATAAATGTCCAGAAATGAAGTTATTTGTAATAATGTGGAATGGCACAGGGAAAAAGTATTGAACATACTTATTGAAATGTATCTAATACTTTGTACAAAAGCCTTTGTTGTCAATGACAGCTTCAAGACYCCTCCTGTATGGAGAAACTAGTGGCATGCATTGCTCAGGTGTGATTTTGGCCCATTCTTCCACACAAACAGTCCTCAAATCAAGAAAGTTTCGTGGACCTCTTCTATGAACTCTGATCTTTAGTTCTTTCCATAGATTTTCTGTTGGATTCWGGTCAGGTGATTGGCTGGGCCATTCCAGCAGCTTTAGTTTCTTTCTCTGAAACCAACTGAGAGTTTCCTTGGCTTTGTGTTTGGGCTCATTGTCTTGTTGAAATGTCCAGCCACGTTTCATCTTCATCATCCTGGTAGATGGAAGCAGATTTTTATCAAGAATMTCTCTGTACATTTTTCCACTCATCCTTCCTTCAATTATTTGAAGTTTGCCAGTACCATATGCTGAAAAACAGCCCCACACCATGATGTTCCCACCTCCAAACTTCACTGTTGGTATGGTGTTTCTGGGCTGATGTGCAGTGCCATTTGACCTCCAAACATGATGTGTATTCTGGCATCCAAACAGTTCAGTTTTGGTCTCWTCTGACCAGACTATATTCTCCCAGTATTACACAGGCTTGTTTAAATGTTGTGCAGCAATCTTTAAAGGAGCTTCAACATGCTGTTTCTTCAGCAGTGGAGTCTTGCGTGGTGAGCYTGCATACAGGCCATGGTGGTTCAGTGCATTACTTATTGTTTTCTTTGAAACAAACGTACCTGCTAATTCCAGGTCTTTCTGAAGCTCTCCACAAGTGGTCCTTGGCTCTTGGACAACTCTTCTGATAATTCTTTTCACTCCTCTGTCAGAAATCTTGTGAGGAGCACCTGGTCGTGGTCGGTTTATGGTGAAATGATGTTCTTTCCACTTCTGAATTATGGCCCCAACAGTGCTCACTGGAACCTTCAGAAGTTTAGACATTCTTCTGTAACCGATGCCATCATTATGCTTTGCAACAATAAGGTTGTGAAGGTCTTGAGAGAGCTCTTTACTTTTACCCATCATCAGATGGTTCTTGTGTGATACCTGGCCATCATTTGGGACTGAAACAGCTGATATTAACTTGCACTGACAAGGGGCAGGCTTGRTTTCTAATTACTGAGAGAGTTCAGCTGGTGTCTTGGCTTTCCATGCCTTTTTACACCTCCCTTTCTTCATGTGTTCAATACTTTTTCCCTGTGCCATTCCACATTATTACAAATAACTTAATTTCTGGACATTTATGGTTTGATTTCTTTGTATGTATGGATCACTTGGGTTGTTACCAACATCTGGTGAAAATTTCATGTCATTAGCACSTCTAGTAATATATTTACTGAGAAAAATTGGGACGTATTCAATACTTATTTTACCCGCTGTATGTCATGAACTACTGGATAAATTTTAATGAAGCTTTTTCAACACAACCAAACTCAATTCAAAGTGGCCACCATAGCTAATCAAACTGACTGCGTTAGCAAAATATTTCACGACCAATTGAACAAACTGTAAAACCCTCAAAAAGGAGTCATCTATAAATGATTATCCTTTAAATGAAGACTATATCACAGCTAATCGACTTTAAAGGGGACATATCATGCAAAATCCAAAATTTTAGCCATTTAAAACATTTTGTTTTGAACTTGGAGTCTGTAGGGGTGCAGAGGTTTGAATTTATTCTCTCCCAGTGCTGCATGGATATCATTATATTGTGTTTAGGTCATTTTTCTCCAACCCGTTCAGTTTTCTCTATTTCCTATGGCAATTATTACATCAAAGTAATTACCAAATAAGGACTGTARTTGACAACTAACCGATTTAATCATCTTTATTCTCCTCTGGCTCTGAGTCAGACTCTGACTCCAACATGCAAGTCTGGATTGACAAGTGACATCTTTTAATTCAGTTTCTGCACTTCTATGTAGTCGTAACCCCATCAAACTGGAATGGACCACTCGGGAAGCTGGAGGGGGGAGCATGGTGTGAAGTGCCTCATTTGGATTTAAAGAGACAGCCTCAAAACGAGTTGATCTGAGACACACCTCAGAAAAGGGMTTTACGGAGTTACAATAAGGAGGAATTCAGACCAAAGCATTGCAGTTCCACTTTATTTAGGCGCCAACTGAATGATTTAAATGGGGAAAAGAAAGATTTAAAAACTCGCCCCAAACGCTACTTTAAATACTATTCCGCAAGATTTTTGTTTATTATTTTGCTATAGAAGGAGTTGGGAGATCTGCCTTCCTTCTTTTTAGGTTATGCTTCTGTGTTGTAGCCAAGCAACTGTTGAAGTGGAGAAGTCTCAAGAAGTTACTGACACTGCATTTGTCATTGATGACAGCCGTGTTGTAGAATGAGCTCTGTTTTATGGGTGTGTATATAGGGACTGCAGTCTCTGGAGCATACACCTGAAATAGCACCGCCACATTAATTCCACTAATAAGCCACTTGTGGTGTCGCTGGTTTCCGTCCAACCCTYCAAGTAAAGCCGTCCGTTTTTGCTTACCCGACTCTGGAAATCCAGCGTCGGCACCGTTGTGCTAATGAAGCAGGACTTTTTTTTTTCTTCATGAAAGGAAGTTTCTACTTTGCCTCGCTCAAAATAACACACTGTAGAAAGCAGGCTTTCTTTTAAAACTTTATATTTGGTTGCACATACTTTTGAACTAACACCAGTCAGAAAAGAACCATTTGGATCTTATAGATATTATTCATACAATCTTATAGATTCTAGCTGTTTGCTTTAACTGTGTTTGAGTTTTACTCATTTGATAAGATGGACCATGATGGAAAGGTTAGCTCTTACAAACTTTGACCCCACTGGATGAAWATGATTTGTGTCATTCAAACATGTTTCATTAATTTTATTAGCCTGGTGTAGTACAGTGTGTCGCAACAATTTGTGATTTTGATGCTGCTGTTATTTTATTTTATTTATTTACTTTGTGATGAACTTAATCCATGCAACAAAAASCATTTGCTGAATGCAAGTACCAATGCCAGGATGATATCTGTGCTTTTATGTCAAGAGACAAAAGACATTTTTTCGTCAAATTTATGTATTTTTTTTATTCGTGTGAAGACTAAATGTAAATAGTGAAAATACAAATGTTGTCAAATGTAATGAAYAATAAACCTGAAAGGAAGGATGATTTTCTTAAATGCAAAACCTTGTTTTTCTCTCCTTTTTTATTCTGAGTCACATAAACAAAAAACAAACAAAAAGATTTTTACCATTAAAACAACCAAAGAGAATTACGATGTATGAATCAGCGAGTGGAAGGTTGTTTTTCTTCTTGATGTAAAGAAACATTTTTTTCTGCAACTGCGTTTTATTCTCTCGCATTCTTGATGAAAATTTGAAGAATTAAACAGCATTAAACTTATTCCATAATCAGAATAATTTCCTTAACAATTAGCAACTTGATGTTCAGCGACTTTTAAAATAGGAAAAATATATATTTTTAAATTTTAACAGTAATTAAATAAAACATTTGTTCATTTCAGTTTTTTAGTATTTTAGATTTCACTTATTGGTGCACTTGTCAGATTTTGAGGCTTATTTTCGATTTAACTACTTATTTACTRTGGCTAACATCGTATGTCATTTTTCGTTTTTCTTTTCACTGACTTTTGTTGTCCCTTTCAATTTTAACTATTTGGACAATAATGGCTGAATATTTTATGTGATCAATATATTTAGGTAAAAATGACGTTGACAATTAAAATGTCCAAAAATGAATAAATAAATGAATGATGTGTGCTTTCTAGTTAACTTATTTCATTTAATTTTCCTTTACTTAACCAGATTTAAAACCTCATTAATATCAAGATCTCATTTTCAACGGGGACCAGGGCACAAATAAACAGCACACATCATTGCATAAGTCATAACTATAATGAAATGACAAACATTCTAACAATTTAGACAATCATAAAAGTGAACCAAAATGTTGAACTAATGTAACCCGATGTTTAACTAGTGTTTGACAAACAGTGTTTTTACAGTGTTGACAAACTAGTGGTCCAAAATGATCTCATTGAGGATATCAAATAAATACACAAACAACCTGCTATATCTCACAGCATGAAGGTTGCAGGATCAAAACTCAGCTGCAGCCTCTCTGTGTGAAGTTTGCATGTTTTCACTGTTTTCACCAATAATTTGACATAAAAAAAACATGTCTGAAACAGACTCCAAATACTTCAACGGGTGCACTGCTTCAACTGCTTCATGGTTATTCTCACACAATGCAAATTCAAACAGCTTTCCGCATGAAAATCAATAAACATTTCTTCAGTTTCAGGAACATTTATAAGACAAACTCCACTTAACAAATGRATTAATGTCTGGGCCGTGATCTTGCTCTGCACCCGGAAGATGGCAGGAGTCTG